AAAAAAAAAACATGCAACAAAAAATGTACAGTGCAGAAAAAGAAATGCAAAATTGATAAGAAAATATAATAACAGAAGGGAGTGCCACACGTCTAGAAAAAAATGCAATTAATCTCTTTTTTTTAAATTGTTGATATTGAATCGACGCCAAATTTTTTCAAGAAAATCCAATTCAATACGCCAAATAAGGAAATGAAGAACATATTTTCCCTCTCTCTAGACACATTCAAATTTCTAAAAAAAGACTCCAACTATCTGTCTCCACACTTTTTTTTTTTTATTGCCCATGAATTTTTAACAAAGTTCTTAAACTTTCCGAAATTTCGGTCAACGACAATCCATCTCTGGTAGGATAAACTTGAGTCGGGTTATGAGAAGTGGCCATACGTTCGGGAACCATGTATGCGGAGGATGAATTATATTGACGATCCGATAAAATACGGAGAAGTTCAGAAGACTCTTGCTTTCGCACAGAATAAAATCTATCATAATATCTAACGGCATCAGGTTCTACATCATCCATAGTAAACATATCGTCATCAGAGGAATTGCCAGAGGACAAAGACGGTGACGGGACCCTAGACGGGGTGAAAACTGGCAAGACGGCATTAGGAGTCATAGGACTAGATTCCTTACTAGGAGGTTTACTGAGGAAAGATGGTAAAGGCAAATCGCTAGGTGCAGGAGAATTATGGAAGGTAGGACCAGCATAAAGTTTTGATGCCATGTGTCTATCCGGAGAAGTAGATGGCCTACGAGAAGCCGGAGGAGTGGTTGATAACATGACAGCATCATGACTTGCAAAAGGAGCAACTTGGCTTTGCAATTCGATAGCTGTACTGGATTGACGACGAGGAGCCTTTTCCGGAATAAATGAATTATTGGTAGAGAGAAAGATATCCGAACGTCTTTTATGGGTTTTGTTCAAAGACTTGTCAAAATTACTATAATATATTAATAAAATAATATTAGTAATGTAAATAATAATGATAAAATAATAATATTCATATTTTATATTCATAATAGTAATAATAATAATAATAATAATAATAATAATAATATATAATATATATATAATAATAATAGTATATAATAAAATAAAATAAAATAATTTACCTTTTGGTATGGGCAGAAGTTTCAGTATCATCGTGTTTACTACACATTTCTTCTTCAAGAGCAAGAATCGCGTTAGAATAGTTGAGAGGAGGAAAATAAAAGGCGTTGTTGTTCGTTTGCTGAGGAGGAGCAGATAAACAAACAGGGTCGATCTTTGGCGAATAAGACAACGACTTCATACATGGATTTAATAAAATACTATTTACATCAGATTCTTTATTAGAATCCTGTTTGTCATAATTGCAAGATTCAATAACTTGTAAAATCCCAGACGTGGATTTTACATCTTTACGCCGTTGAGAACATTTAGATTTTGAAGGGGAGACGTCAGAACGACGGCGTTCTTTAGAATAATCACCAACCGCAGAGGGAAGTTGATAATCATGTTCTTCACGAGTAACATCAAGAAAAGTTTTAGAGGGAGTAACATTATTATTATTATTATTAGAAGATCTTACAAAATCGGTAGCAGATTGAGGTCTTTTGAGGATCGTGACTTGAGGGCCATTTCTAAATTTATCATCACCAATTGAATCACTATGATTATGCTTTCTTGATGGACGTCTTTCACTTGACCTTCTTACGACAGGTTTGTTGATATCGATAGAATTATTAGCTGACAAATAAGAATCATCAATAGCACCAGGATTATTGAAATTATTCGTTAAAGAGAAGTCGGGGAATTTAGAATCTCCACGCAAAGAATCGAAATTATCAACACGATTATTAAAATTAGATTTTGAATTCAAACGAGAAGAATTAGAGCAATCACT